CACTGAGCCACAATCCCAGCCCTCTTTTATATTTTTATTTAGAGACTGGGTCTCACTGAGTTGCATAGGGCCTTGCTAAGTTACTGAGGCTGGGATTACAAGCGGGCACCACTGTGTCCTTTTATTACTTACACTGTACCAAATCTTTTTGTCATTTTTTTTTAGAGAGAGAGAGAGAGAGAATTTTTTTAATATTTATTTTTTAGTTATCGGCGGACACAACATCTTTGTTTGTATGTGGTGCTGAGGATCGAACCCGGGCTGCATGCACGCCAAGCGAGCGTGCTACTGCTTGAGCCACATCCCCAGCCCTGTACCAAATCTTTTTGTACTTATTAGTTGTAGTTGAACACAATACCTTTATTTTATTTATTTATTTTTTATGAGGTGCTGAGGATCGAACCCAGCGCCTCACACATGCTAGGCAAGTGCTCTACAGCTGAGCCACAACCACAGCCCCACTTTTTGTACTTATTACGTTGAAACCCATCGGTCCATCTTCCATTCTGAATGGATCTTTTACCCACTTTGTAAAACCACTGGAAAATATTGGTTCACATAGTTTTGCAGATTTTTCTGTATTTTGACATTTCATTATATAATATAAAAAGGAATCACACTCATTAATATGACCACTACTGTTTGTGCAGAGTGGTGATTTGAATCATGGCCTCTAATTGTCTTGTGGCTGTGTTGGGCTGGGAACATCCTGTGCAAAGGTGCAGGTCAAGATGGCCCAGCTGGTATGGTGAGGCTGACCTGAGGAGGCTCCTTGCAAAAGCACAGAGCTGTCAAGTTCAGACCTTGAGCTCAGGCACGAGCTCTCCGGGATAGAGAATTCTGAGCATAACAAGATAACCCCGATGTCTCACCAGTCCTGCGTCCTTCAGACTGCCTGCTTTGTAGAAACTTTCCCACAGATAACCTTTTGATGAAACTGATATAATAAACGTGCTGAGCCACCTCTGGGTCACTGCTTCTCCATCAGAGGTTAGTGCCCACCTGACCTCAGCTTTTCTATGTCTCTTTTCTTCATCCCCCACAGCCCCTCATCTGGTTTCCGAATAACAGTTGTGCAGGTTGCTGCAACTGGTGTCCGAACAGGAACATGAGGTCCAGGCAACTACTTTCAGAAGGCTTTAATTGTTGGAAAGTTGTTGAATTCATGGTAGCAAATACAAACTTTCCAAAATTCAAATTTTCTCTTGAAAGATTGAATTGTATAACTGACAACAAATATTGTCAATTATTTCTCTTAAAGTTTCAGATTCTAACCTTGTTTATTTTTAAGAAAATGTCTGCCAAATACTCAAGTGTAAATGACTAGTTTGATTATTAGCCATTCCTTTTAAGTAAAAATGATGTTCTGGATAAAATGATATCCCCTGATAGTTGACCTTGAGACTCAATCACAGCATGTTTTCTTAAGTCAACATCATACTATAGCAGAGTGTTTATGCCTATTTACTAGTTCCTCACATGAAATACTGAATAAGAAGTAAATTAAAGGAACATTAATAAAATTCACAATTTTTACAAGGATCATTTTATGAGAAATATCTACATGTATATATTTCAGTGCAACAAAATAGGTGATATAGGGGAGAGTCTAGCTCATATCTTTGGGTTTTTTTTTTTTTTTTTTTTTTTGGTACCAGGGATTGAACTCAGGGGCACTCAATCACTGAGCCACATCCCTTGATGTATTTTGTATTTTATTTAGAGACAGGGTCTCACTGAGTTGCTTAGTGTGTCACTTTTGCTGAGGCTGGCTTTGAACTCTTTGATCCTCCTGCCTCAGCCTCCTGAGCCACTGGAATTACAGGCGTGTGCCACCTCACCCAGCTAGCCTATATTTTTATGTAACTTACTTGTGTTTTCAAGACCTGTCATGCTCCAATTCCAAATATATCACTTCCATTGAATGACAGATGGCTGTTTTGTCCAATTGAATTTATGATTTCACAAGTCTGACTAAATATTGACCTAATGATAGGAAGTATACATCTCTTAGTCACTTAATGTCCTATAATCTGGCACATGGCTTCTTTGATGGTTCAGTAGAGTGCCAGGAGTTGTTTTTCAGAGTGTACAGTTCCTTTACTGCAGAGAATATGGTCTTGCTCTAGAACTGCAGAGATCTATTACCATGGGCCTGAGTTGGGACATATCAGAAACTCCTTACAGCAATTTGATTCACCACAACAAACTCTAGCACCATGGGACTTGCCAGGGCATTACAGCCCAATTGACAAGGCTGCTTCTACCACAACCTGACCCCACCCCCCAACCTCTTCTCTCTCTTTTGTTACTGGGGATTGAACCCAGGGGCACTTTACCACGGAGCTACATGCCAAGCCCTTTTTTTGTTTTATTGAGACAGGGTCTTGCTAAATTGCTTAGGACCTCATTGTTGATGGCTTTGAACTTGTGATCTTCTTGCCTCAGCCTCCAAAGTCACTGGGATTACAGGTGTGTGTCACTACAATCGATTCCCGACTCCATCTCTTGATAGGAGGAGCTGTAAAGCATCATGGCCAAGTTTTGCATTCTGCCATGGAATTCTTTTTTTTTTTTTTATTGGTTGTTCAAAACATTATAAAGCTCTTGACATATCATATTTCATACATTAGATTCAAGTTGGTTATGAACTCCCAATTTTACCCCAAATACAGATTGCAGAATCACATCGGTTACACATCCACATTTTTACATAATGCCCTATTAGTAACTGTTGTATTCTGCTACCTTTCCTATCCTCTACCATCCCCCCTCCCTCCCCTCCCATCTTCTCTCTCTACCCCATCCACTGTAATTCATATCTCTCCTTGTTTATTTTCCCATTCCCCTCACAACCTCTTATATGTAATTTTGTATAACAATGAGGGTCTCCCTCCATTACCATGCAATTTCCCTTTTCTCTCCCTTTCCATCCCACCTCATGTATCTGTTTAATGTTAATCTTTTCTTCCTGCTCTTCCTCCCTGCTCTGTTCTTAGTTGCTCTCATTATATCAAAGAAGACATTTGGTATTTGTTTTTTAGGGATTGGCTAGCTTCACTAAGCATAATCTGCTCTAGTGCCATCCATTTCCCTGCAAATTCTATGATTTTGTCATTTTTTAGTGCTGCGTAATACTCCATGGTGTATAAATGCCACATTTTTTTTTTTTATCCATTCATCTATTGAAGGGCATCTGGGTTGGTTCCACAGTCTAGCAATTGTGAATTGTGCTGCTATGAACATCGATGTAGCAGTATCCCTGTAGTATGCTCTTTTAAGGTCTTCAGGGAAAAGTCCAAGAAGGGCAATAGCTGGGTCAAATGGTGGTTCCATTCCCAGCTTTTGCCATGGAATTCTTGATGTATTAAATGGCCCCTCTTGTTATCCTATGTGAATAAACTATAAATTCCTGTGTTATTTGGAATAACAGAACATACTGAATTAATGATACTGAATCAGAGAATTGCTAAGCAACTCAATTGGTCAAATCTGCCTTAATGGAAGATCTTCGCCACAAGGAAGGCTTGCAAAAACAAAACCCAACACTCTGCCTTGCTTCTAGTGGCTGATTATTTTTATATAGCATAGTCAGGAGGAAAAACTGACTCAAGAAATAAAACAAAAAGTAACAGGGGTACCCTATCTAGTCCTGATTCTAAAACAATAGAAAGGTCAATATCTTTAAAAACTTATGTACCAAAATGATTTTTGTCTTTCTTACTGTGCTGATGTCTAGATATATGTCCCATGAATATGCTAATCATGTGTGAAAGTTTTTTTTTTTTTCTTTTCTCCGCATGAACACACTCAAGTGAGCTTGTGGTCCCTTCTATTTTCAAAGCCAGCAGTGAAACATCCTCAAATCTCTTTCTCCTCTGCTTCTGGCATGGCACCTTTCTCTGACTTGGATTCTCTGGCTTCCCTCACCTAAGAAAGCCTCTGATTACGGTGGGCCCACCTGGATAATCCAGATAGTCCTTCCATCTCAAAGAGTTTTAACTGAACCACATTCTGCTGTCCACGTGGGGTGACATTCACAGATCCCAGGGATTAGAATGCATACATCCTTGGGAGGCAAGGGTGACTAGTACAGGGTGATTCCAGAGGTCGGCTATTGCGCAAAAGACTGTAAACATTTGTACAGCTTAGTGGGTTTGTGCGTGTGAGCAGAAATCCTTATTTCTCCGGGAACAGAGACCCGGGAGTATAATGACTGGATCGTATATAATTGCATATTTTGTTTTACGAGGAACCGTCCATGTGTTTCCCAGACTGGCTGGAATATTTCACAATTGTACCACCACGTACGAGGGACCCAACCTCTCTGCATCCCTGTCAGTGTCTGGGGTCGTTACCGTTCCTCAGTTTTGCCAATCGGAAAGGCGGGCAGTGCCATCTTGACTGTGGTTTTACTTTGCCATCTGCTAACGGTCCTAAGCCGTTTTTCCCTGTGGATATCCACGACGGAGAAGGTGGCGGGGGCTGGCTAGCTGGGCGGCTGCGGGGGGGAAGCGCAGCCTTTCTGTGGAGGGGTTCACCGAGTCGGGGCGGGCGATCGCGGGCGGCTCTAGCCGGACCCCAGCCTGTGGCTCTGCTGGGGCGGCCGTGGCGATCTCTGCGGGAACCCAGGGTAAGGACGGGGGGGGGGGGGCGCTCCCGAGCCGCGCTCCCGGGGGCCTGGGCCAGGCCAGCAGCGCCGGAGTCCGCAGCGCGAGGCGGGACGCCAGTGCTCGGCGTCGCCCCTGCGGCCTGCGTGGCCCCCGTGGACGGGGCGGAGCGTCGGGAGCGCGGCCTTAGTCGGCGGTCTCCCTCGAGGACGACCACTCTAGCAGCACCGGCCCCTCGGTCGTGGCGGGAAGGAGGGCAGGGGAAACCCAGGAAGCCACACCCCTTGGCGGGGTCCTCGCCCGTCGTCGCCTCGCCTCGCGGGCGCGGGGCCGTTTCCCGCCACCCGCAGTCGGTGCGGCCGCGAGGGGGCGCGTCAGGGCCGGCGCACCATGGCGCTCAGGGGCGGCTTCCTGGGCCTGTTGGCCTGGCTCTTGCTCCTGCAGCCACGGCTTGGCCAGGCCCGCTCGGCCTCCGCGCCCTCCGACCCCTCCGAAATTTCCGATCCCTCCAACCCCTCCGACCCCTCAGAGTCCCCTCCGCCCACCGACAAGATGCTGCTGACCCCGCCCGTGGCCACGGGGCCCACGGGGCCCACAGTTATGGTGGTTAGTTCAGGTGATCGTGATTCCTCCAGGACGACTGAATTCCCATCAGGTGACTTCTCGGCCACACCCTGACGCAGAGACTGCCTGGCCCGAGTGATCAGGACCCCTACGGTCCAGGAGCAGGATGCAGGAACTGCGGTCCCCAGGGTGCTGGGTGCGGGCTCTGAGCTACCCAGCCTGCCCTTGAGATCTGAGGGGACACAGCCATTCCCCAAGGAGTCTCAGGGATGCGGACCTGCCCTGGGGTCTGAGGGACGTGGCTTGCTCCTCCGAGTTTAAGGTTCTGGCTCAGGTTTTACTCTCAGCCCTCCCTTCACTGATCTGCTCCAGCATGTGGCCACAGGTCTATGAGGATAGTTGGTGGAAGGCCAGCCGTGCGGACAAGGTGGCCCTGGCAGGTGAGCCTGCAGATCAATAATCAACACATATGCGGAGGCTCCCTCATCTCCAATCAGTTCGTGCTTACTGCAGCCCACTGCATATTTGGGTGAGTGAGTGGGGCCCAGAGGCTTGGGCTCCTGATGGGGCTGTGTGACCTGGAGCCAGTCTTGTCCTCCACCAAGAGTTTCCTCTTCCTCATCTGGAAAGGGGGATGGGGTGAGAGCCTCCATAGTTTTTTTTATTTATTCTGGATGAGACCTGAGGATTTGCAATTCTGACACGTGGACAGGTGATACTAGTCTGGTGACCACACTTGGAGTGCTGCTGGCTAGAGTGGTCAAGGGTTGGGGAGGGAATGTCGTTTGGAGGGAGGGAGTGGCAGATGGCTGGCCCGCAAGGATGGGGTCAAGCTGGGAAGTACCTGGACTGTGTGGAAGGGAAGTGTGTGTGTAGACCCTTCAGGACCTCTCCGTAGCCATCTGGAATACACAGTGAAGCTGGGGGACGAAGACCTGAAACATCGAGCCCCAACGTCAGTCGAGATCCCAGTCAAAGACATTGTCATCCACCAGTATTACTCTCCTCTTGGAATCATCGAACATGACATTGCACTTGCTATGCTGGCCTTCCCTGTGAATTACTCCACACACATTCAGCCTGTATGCATCCCTGAAAAGTCTTTCTTGGTAGAAACTGATACCTTGTGCTGGGTCACCGGATGGGGCAAGCTAAGCGAGCTAGGTGAGATTGTAAAGCAGGACTACAACAACCTTAGGCCCAGGAGGCGGATACCTGGCAGCTTGGTGTTGGTCTGCAAGCTAAAGGGAGGGACAGGGAGGTAGCTTTTGTACTAGGTGGGTAAGGGAGGAGGGGGGACAAGATGCTGCCAGGGAGAAATTTAATAACTGTTTGTGAATTTCTGTCGGTTTGTCAAGAGTTGGGGGCTTGGGTGTCAAGCATGGTGGGTTCTTTCAAGGGTAGATTTTAGGTAAGGGACTGATGAGCTGTCTGTGAATTTTAGTTGTTCCTCCACAAAAGTATTTGCTTTGATAGCTAAGGAGCTTCCTGTTTGTGAGATGAGGCCAGAAACTCTCAGTGGGCTTGTAGGACCTCCTATTCCTTGACATTTGGGATTTTGGTACGTTTGGGGCACCATGTGTCTGAGAGTCTGTGATATTGTTCTAGAAAGTAAAGTTGCCTTATAGATACACAGGACACCCTGGTGATACTTAGAGTGACAGAGTTTGGTTGTTGTTTCTCAGACTGACAAGACTTTGGCTTCCCTCTCCTGGGCTGTTTTTACTTTTGCTTTGGTTTGGATCTTAACATCATCCTACACTCATGTCAGTGTTAGACCTCATTTCCTCCAGGGTCAGCTGGGGACAATAGCCAGTTCCTAAGAGGATGCCTGTGTGTGAACACACTGAATTGAGACTCAGAGTAAGTACCACTGTGTCTGTCTAGTCTCACTCATGCAGATCCACTCCTAAATTTACTTTCTATAGATTCAGAAAGGGCATCAGAAGAGCTTCAGGAGGCTGAGCTAAACATTATTCGTCACCAGAAATGTAATGAGTTGCTTCAGAAAAGGACAAAAACTAAAGTTCAGTTTACCAAGGAAGGGACGGTCTGTGGCTATAATGATGAAGGAAAGGACTCCTGCCAGGTGAGTTTCATGGGCCCCTTGCTGCTCTGCATTACAGTTTTCTTCCCCCCAGGCAAAAGAGCCTGGGTCATCCCCTAGTTCCTCCATTCACCCTTATTCAAGTTAATGGTGTGCGAGGACAAGCCGCCAGGACTCTCCTGAGTTAGCCTGACATAATCCTTCAGGAGAGAGTAGTGGATTCTTCCTGGCGAGGGGGGTGGGGGGTAGTGGTGGTGAATCAAGCAGGTTATAATATGAAGTTTCATGTTTTGAGCCACTTTTATGTGACATGCAATGCACTTGGGTGAGCAGTTTATTCATTTCTGTCCCAGAGTAGGTGCATTATCTTTGTTTATATAGTTTTTTTTGGAGCACAAATTTTTCAGTAGATAGACAATTTTTATTTGTTAAAATATTCAGTTCTGAAATCTCATGCTCACAGAAACTAGGAGCTGGCAGGTGCCTGGGGACACCACAGGTGTGCCCCGTTTGCCAGTAACTTGAAGTACCATCAGCCTGCTCTGATGTAGATCGAATCCATTTCTGCCATTTGTTTCTTTTCTCTTTCTCCAGGGAGACTCTGGGGGCCCCCTAGTCTGTGAATATAATACAACATGGATCCAGGTGGGAATTGTGAGCTGGGGCATTGGCTGTGGTCGCCTTGGCTATCCTGGTATATATACAGAAGTTAGTTTCTACAGGGACTGGATAGTTACTCTAATGAACCGGGCTTCCTGTCTGGACTCAGCAAACTTCCTCATGTTAAGCCTGTGTGTAGTCATCCCGGTGACCCCGTGATTACCCTGGCCCACTCCCCTCCTGTTTCTGAGTCTCCCACTAGGCCTCTCCTCTGACTTCTCTTTCCTTCTCAATGCCCTTTCTTCAAATTCTGGTTGGGATTCATCCCCCTGAGGAGATCCACATGGAGCACAGCAGGGAGACTGGGGCCTATGAAGTGTCCCAGCTGGTGCTCTGCTCATCTGCCTCAGCCAACCTGTGCCTGCTGGGAATATGGGTGAACTGATTCTAGCTAGAGGGCCAGCAGACCTGCCATTGGGAGCGTGGTGACTTAGGGACACCTTGCAGAACATCTGCCAAAGGAGAGAATTCATCACGGTGAAGGAAGGCCGAACCTGGCCCTAATTTCAGGGTCTCCCTGAGAATTTGTCATACCAACCTGCAAGGTGATTGCAGAGGCAGTGAAGGAGGCCCTAGCAGGTCCCTGCAGAGGTGTGAGGCCTGGGACTTTAGCATCTGTCTTGGTGCCTGGAGTTGGCACAGGTTTCCCTGTACCCAGTGTGGCTCTGTGAGTGGGTAGCCTGTGGCACACAGGCCTCATGGGGCACCCCAGACTGGCACCTCTTCCTCAGGGCCCTAGTGGCTGCATTAGGGACACTCCAAGTTGTGTTGAGGCAGTTTTGAGTGTGGAGATTTCAGATGTGAACTGAATAAATGTTTGTTGGAGAGTTTCCTGTGTGTTCTGAAGCTCTGCTTACTTGGGATGTTTGCTTCCATATAACTTCCTCTGTAGAGAACTGGGTCCCTATTTAACTAAGGATGATATTCTCAGTCTCCATTAAATCCTGAAAGAGCCAAAATGAGGATTTTGTCTGTCCCCTTTGAAATGATGACCCTTTGAAATGATGAGTGGTTACAGCCAGTGGCCCATGGTCTCTGTTCCTGATTCTGACATCATCATCTATTATGGTTTGTATCTGAATTATCCCCCAAAGACTTGAAGACTCAGATGAGGAGGGCTTTGTCTCCATGCAACAATATTTAGAGGGGGAGCTTTTGGGAAATGATTGGATCATCAGAGATCTGACAACATCAATGTCTTGATAACTTGAAGGCGTTATCGGGAACTGGAGGAGTTGGGAGCTTGTTGTGGGAAGGAGTTCACTAGGGTTGTGCCCTTGGGAGCTATTTCTTATCCCTGGCCCCTTTCTCTCTGTCTCCTTTGTGGCTGCCACGAGCTGAGCAGCTTTCCTTCCTCTGTGTTGTTCTGTCTCATCACAGGCCCAAAGCAATGGAGTCAGCTGACCATGGACTGAAACCTCTAAAACCATCAGCCAAAATAAATCTTTCTTCCTCTAAGTTGTTTTCGTCAGATATTTTAATCCTAGCAGTAAAACTGATTAAGACATCATTTCTTTAGGCTGGAGTTTCATCATTGAAACTGGCCCTAGTTTCATTGATTACCCTGGCCCACTTCCCTCCTATTTCTGAGTCTCCCACTAGGCCTCTCTTCTGACCTCCCTTTCCTTCTCAATGTCCTTTCTTCAAATTCTGGTTGATCTATAGTCTGGAGCAGGGTAGCATGAGAGTCAAAGGCTGGCGTGTGGCACACTCACACACCCTGGGACCTCTCCTTGCTGCCTGTCCCGGGGGTGCCCTACAGAGACAGGATGGCCTTTGGGCTGGGCCTTAAGAGCAGAGGACTCACAGGAAGGAGGCTAGAAAGGAGGGGCTCACTGTGTGTGTGTATGTTCCTGTGTGAGTGTGTGTGTGTGTGTGAGAGAGAGAGAGAGACAGAGACAGAGACAGAGACAGAGAGAGAGAAGAGCAAGAATATGCACAGGCTCTTCTCAATTGCCAGGCTGCTGTCCCAGTGAACTTTGTGTCTGGCTGCTGATCATTCTCCAGACCTTTGCCTCCTCCCACCCTTTGTCCACTGCTAGAGCTCCCACTTACCAGAGGGTATCAGTGGGCAGCCTGTGATGGCCCATCTGCTACCTTGGGCAGCAAATACTGACTCACAGCCGCAATTTCATAAGAAGTGTGCTCAGCTGCGAAACTTTCCCTAAAGATGATATCCCTTTGCAATACAGCCTATAACAAGTGATTGGTATGCAGAGATTGAGAGGCCTGGACTCCTTCCCTACATACAGGATGAATTGGAAAGGCTTCTTGTAGGATCAATGGAGACCTCAGTTGCAACTGCCTTATAGCTCGACTTCTCCTAAGGCCCAGTTCTGTTTCACTTGCTCCTTACAAGTGTACCTCCCAAGGACATGCTCATCAACCTTGCACACAACTCTCTATCAGTGTCTAGGCAACTCAGTGTAGCACATACTACCTGATGAAAGATGGGAGATTTCAAGCTTCAGGAAGTATGTCAATGATCTACTGCTGTGTGAGAGATTACCCCAAACTCAGTGGTTTGAAACACAGTATATTCTTGTTGATCCTCTTTATTTAAAGATTCTTATTTTCAAATTCACTAATTGGCTGAGGTTTATTTTGAAGCCCCAAGTCAATACAGTGTTTTTGTGGTCATGGTGAATGTGCACAGAGCCATGGAAACACTTGAATGGTGCACATGCTCCTAGCTGAGATTGGAGTGTGATGCTTTTGTTGCTTTCTTCAGCTTTTGTAAACAAGTGTCCTTTTTGTCATCTTTTTTCCCCCACATCCTTTACACTTTTATACCTTTTGTTGGCAATTTTGCTGTTTGAAAGCACCCCACATGTATTATGGAAATACTGCTTAGTGTTCCTAAGTGCAAGAAGACTGTAATGTGCCTTGTAAAGGAAACAGGTATGTTGGAGCGGCTTTATCAGGCATGAGCTGTAGTGCCGATGGCCACAAATCTGGTGAATTCCTAGAGTGTATGCAGTGAGGGTGTCTTCACAGAGGAACACGAGACACAAGGCTGGTCAATGAGAATATTTTGAGCAGAAGCTCCCATGCCAAGGCCTGTGTTGCTACTGGTAGCAACGGATCAGTATTTGCTCATCCAGCATCATGATGGCTTTGTAGAACTTCACTCCTGTGAGTAGCAGGATTCAACAGTACTTCTCACAGTATCAAAGATTGGTTAGGCCATTCTGCCTGTCTAGTCTGAGCTCATTCCTAAGGCTACATCCATGAGGCAGCTTCATTAGGGCCCAGGATGTCCCAGATGGCCTTCCAACATGAGGGGTTACCTGGTATATGGGTAGGGGTGCCTCAGTTTTCTTCCAAAGGCCTCTCATCCTTCCCTAGGCTGAGCAGGTGCCAGGTAGGGGAAAGCAGAAGCTACCAGGATGTTTAGCACCTGAGTTCAGGAGGTGCCCAGCTTCCCTTCTATCACATTCTGTTGTCCAAAGCAAGTCACAAAGCCAGCTCAGATTCATTGAGGGTGGGGAAGAGAATTCCATTTGTGGGTGGGCAGAGATGTAAAACATTATGGCCATGTTCTCTAATCTTCCACAAGAACAATAATAACTGCAATTATTGAAACCTCTAAAATATGTGAACACTCAAAATCTTTAAAAGATTTTCACAAAGTATGACACAAGGATGAAATCACTATTTTCAATCCCCAATTGAACTAGTGCATGAAAGCATGATCCTCAACAGCTTGTAATGTCACAAAAGGAGGCCACCTAGACATGGTGTCTCCTAATGACAGAATGTGACACCTGCTATAATGTTGACAGGGATTGAGTGCCACTGTTGATTTGCAGGAATTAGAGGAGGCAGAGGGACATACTAAGTTCAGACTGTGGGAGACTTGAGAGGACAAACAGCCCAGGTGTGAGGGACTGAGGGTAAAAGTGCAGTCATAAGTGTGTGTACGGGTATATAAAATACAAAATAGTCATGCCAAACCAAAGTGTATTGTCCAAGGAAGCAAGAACCCGAAAGAAACATAAGGAATTCCATAAAGTTCAGATGAAAGGTTACCTTTGAAAGTGGAAGGAAATAGCTTCACAGAGGGCCCACAGAAGGGTTTCACGGGGACTGGCATAGCTCCTTATCTGACCTGGACTGTGGTTCCATGCATGGTCAGTGTACATGGATTGCGACTACATATTTATATCGTTGACATTGATATTGGTATTATTTTAGCAAGGAGACCTTAAAAAGAAAGTTGGAAAACTGCTGTGGTGGGAGGTTGTCAGGTGTGGGGGTGTGGTATTGGAAAACGATGGGCTTCTTGACACACTGAGGTTCGCTCCCATCTGAAGGACAGCAGCGCTGGGCCCGTGAGGCCCCGCCCAGCCTGGAGACCCAGCAGGCAATGCTTGGAGAGACTTTGCTCCCAAGCACAAGGGCAGGTACTACGCCTCCGCACGGGGGGCGCAACAGAGAGCTGACAGATCCATGGCGTCCCTGAGCTACGGTGAAGATGGCATCCCCTTCCTGGGCCTCCTGTTGTGGCTTCAGCTTCTCGGGCTTCTGCTCAGTGGGGCCTCAGCCGGTGCTGCAACCAGGCCTCGCTCTCCAGGTGGGCGCGGGTGGCCGTCAGGTATTGGGGCACAGGCAGGAGCCCGGGAAGCGACACAAGACTAGCTGCCAGCACTGTTCTGCTGCTCTCTTCTTTTTCAGGTGGGGGTTACAGACCCCAGGAAGAGTCCCCAGTGACCCTGGCAGGCTCAGAGGCCCCAGCTTCTTCCAGACACCTGAAAATCCCAAAGATTCCACATCCTGCTGTAGCTCCAGCCCCAGCAGGGGCTCCAGGATCTGGGGCTACTTCAGAGCCCACAGTGGGACCATTCTTGAAATCCAATGGGGATTCTAATCCATTTCCAGTTGTGCTTCCTTCAGGTAGCTTCTGGTTCCAGGGTTCATCAGGCCTGCCTGGGAGTTGAAAGGGAACACAGCCAGGCTAGAGAGGATGGAGCCAGATCTTGTCTTGAAAGTGAGAGGGAGAGGACATCCATCTGCCTTGTGTGACGGGTGGATCCACCTGGGCACCTGTGTGTCGTGGTCATGGGGTTGGGGGACAATGGCTTCACTTCTAGTACCTTCTTTCCCAAATCATCCAGCATGTGGGCATAGAACTATGAGGATATACGGTGGAAAGAAAGCCCCACAGAGGAAGTGGCCCTGGCAGGTGAGCCTGCAGTCCTATAATAGACACATATGTGGAGGCTCCCTCATCACCAACCGGTTAGTGCTCACTGCTGCCCACTGCATGCTTAGGTGAGTGTTTGGGTCTTTGGGTTTCAGCCCCTAATCAGGCTGTGTCCTGTCCCCATCTCTGGGTTTTCTTTCTCATCAGAAGAAGCAGGTAATAGCCCCAGAATTTTTATTCAGTCTGGCATGAAACCTTAGCATTTGTATTTCTAATAATTTTTCAAGGGATACTGGCCTGGAAACCACACTTGGAGAATTTCTGACCATGGTGGTTTTGGTGTGGGAGGGGATAAGGTTTGTAGAGAGGGGAGTGGTTGATGGCTCACAGTGGAAATTGGGTTCAGGCTAAGAACCACCTGGAATGTGTAGATAGGGAATGTAGACCCTCTGGATATCTATGAAGACCATGTCTTTTCCCCACAGCCAAACGCATTACAGGGTGATACTGGGAAACAATAAGTTGAATGAATTTGATGAGAACGCGGTTATGGTTCCCCTTAAAGATGTTTATCCTCATCAAGGTTTTGAAATTAAAAACCTGACAAATGACATTGCCATTGCTCTGCTGGCCTTTCCTGTGAATTATTCCCCATACATCCAGCCTATATGCCTGCCTGAA